CTTCTTATCATGCTTATTAGTAGGTTTTATGGTTTAGAATAAAAGGGCATGTCAAACTCTGGGTAACACCTACCGACATGTGAATTGGATTGGAATTTAACTCTTAATCCGAATAATTTGATTTACTGGTTGCTCCAGTTTTTGTTCTTGGTAAAAAACATGATGTGCAGATGTTTCTTTAAAACTATGTTCTTGATTGTTGAATTACTTTACAATTCAGAAATGACGGCTAAACTGAATCAGAAATTTTGTAGCTTAATTTGATTAACAGCTTGTTCCTACCAAAAACACTAGTCTATCTCCGTTTGAATACATTCAACTGTATGCCATAAACCAGAACGTGGCTACACATGTATTTTCATTGGACAAATGTTTATTGGTCTTGGTAAAAATAAACATGAACTGCAGCAGCTTCTTTGTATAACTAATTTTTGAATTAATTGACAAGTTTGAAATGAGCGTGAAATTATTAAGCTTATTTGATAGCTGATTGTTTCTTCAAAAACAACCGGCTTATCACCTTGTGAAATACATCAACTGTATTCTATAAACTAGGAACTGTCCATGTTGTATTTCAGTTAAAGAGCGAATGTCTTTTAGTAATGTTAAGAGTTGTGGCTCTCTCTACAGCATTTCATAATGTAATTTGAGTTTCTCTTGTACTAGCAAGCATCTGTGCCAGCTGTAACTTGTGATCTTTGAGAAGTACCACCATGATATCCAAGAAAAGAGAAAGAAAAGGTAGACAAATGCTACCATTCTAATTCTTTTCATTTTCCAGGGTCAACTGACATCAGCATCTTCTTCAGAGAACCTGCAGCAGACAAATGTAAATCACCAAATCTATGGAGCCTCACGCCAGAATGAATCAGCAACTTCAGGATCCCAAGCATCCTTTTCTCAGTTACGCTCTGGTTCTGTCCTGTAGGTGTTTATGCCTTGCAGAGGGAGAATGTATTCCCAGAAAGACCTGGCCAGCCCGAGTGCCAATTTTACATGAAGACTGGAGATTGTAAATTTGGTGCAGTTTGTAGGTTTCATCACCAAGAGAGAGAGTTCTTCCTGCTCCTGATTGTGTGTTAAGTCCTATAGCCTTCCTTTACGCCCAGTGAGTAATGTTTCCAGTGGTATTCTCTTTAAGTTTATTTCTGAATCTTGATGCTCAAATAATTACGGCTGTTCATTAAAAGCCTAGTATTCATGCTACTTAAAAATGTCATTCCCTCATCTATAATCTTATAGGACCTTTTCTTTTAAAAACTTGGTTTCCTGATTGTTTTAATTGCAGCCCATGCTAACGATTCTTTTATGTTAAAAAATGAATGTGCTTTGATACTCCTGGAAATTGGTCATTTTGCGACTGCCATTCAGCACTTTAAATTATATTAGAGAGAAGTGGCATAAAATGGATCTTTTTTCCCTCTTTTGCTTGGATTGGTAGAGACTAGAGAGCCCTATCATGGCATCTCTGTTTTGAAGCTTTATAATGCCAATATTCTGATTACGACAAAGTGCTTATAATCTTTGACACCATAAGATGGTAGAGACTAGAGAACCTTATCATCTCATCTTGTTTTGAAGCTTTAATCCTGTACAGATTCATCTTCAATTGTAGAATGTTACTATTTTATTTTTCTTACTTTCATTTTACTTAACAAGCTTATAAGTTTTGCTTATCCATTATCCATTTTGCACATGTTCTTGGTGGTTTTGCTTCTCGTCATTTGTCTTCAATGCAATATTACATTGATTTTATGGGGTTGTGGTTGGTTTGCAAGAAGAGGTTCACTACTATGTGGGCATTCACTGTTGCTAGTTTTATTTTGTTGTTGATTTTTACAATATTGATATTTATACTTCTACATTCTAACAGGGTGAACCTCTGTGCATATTTTATTCTCGATATGGGATTTGCAAGTTGGTCCAAGTTGCAAGTTTAACCATCCTATGGGAATTTTCACATACGATTACTCAGCATCATCTCCATCTGAGTCCCAGTTCATAATTTTGGGATCATCGTCTGGAAACTACTGGGTTAAACCTGTCATCAGAGGGGATTGTTGAAGCAGTTTCTACAAAGCCCAGGCGACTTTCACTGTCAGAAAATAGACAGTGTCTCCCAGTGATGATAATATTGACACAGAAGGATAAAAGCTACAGCAAGATATGGGCTGATTAAGTTGACAATAGTTTTGGTGGATGAGTAAAGAGTAATCTGTAAATTCATTCCTATTGTTGGAGATGTGCAAAGTTCATGTCAAGTTGATTTGTTCTCTGAAAAAATATGCAATTCAGTCAACAGTTGCATCTTCTGAATTCATAATGCTGCATTGTATAAATCTGAAGATTATGTCACATTTGGTTAAAACGAATGTGAACAATTCAGCCGTCCGGAAGTTCGTTTTCCTTTCTGATTTTGGTGTTATGTTTCTTTCACATTATGTTGTACGAGGCATTTTCTTCTTTCTGTGTGCAGTTTTTAACACATGCCTAGTTTTCTTCTGAATCTTTATGGCTTGAGATTCCATTGTTTTCTTCTTCTTCTTGGACCTCAAATATGCAGGCAGTTTCTAATAACAACCTTGTTTCTTGAGGTAATAACTATCTGCCCTAATATGATCAATCTTGTGAGCGATTCTCAAAGTTGTTTTTTGCACTGAGACATTTTATTCCTGATTGTATGTAGAAATTGTGGTGCAGAGGCATAAATGGGTATACATTCAACTCTCCTGCAAAGCACTGTTTTGCCACATCATTTCTTCGAAGTCTTTGAAGCTCTGGAGATCTCACTTCATGATAAATTGTTCAATGAAGATGAGCTTGTAAGTCAATCCTACAGAATCTCATGTTTTGTGGGGTTCGTCATCTTTACCAAGCATCATACTCTTTGTCCTTGCAAGAGGCTTTTGAAGATGATAGTAAATGAGGAGTATTGCCAATAATTTATTTAAGATTTCTTCTAAACATCCTTGCAAAATCGTATCAGGTAAAATTTCAATCATGGAAAAAATGTGTCTTTCTTTCCTTTCCCTATTTTAATGAAAAATAAGCTATGTAACATGTTGGGAAATCCTTTAGTTTAAGATCTTGATGAACATGATGTTGAACAAGTTTATCAATGATCTTTGGTTGTAGACTTGTTTGCTTCGTCTTTCCTTGCAACTCTGGTTTTTAGTTTTCTGAAAAAAACAATTTGGTCAATGAAAAATGAACTTCAGGTCAGTAGAAAGTAAACCCATCTTTTTGAAAATTGACTTGTGCTTTTCAGAAGCACAAGTTCTTATGAAAGCTAAAGTAAGTTAAAAAAAAAAACACTAAAGGTATGTTACACTTCTTTAGACTCGTGCTTTGTTGTTGCATTTTGTTACACCAGCACTCTATTTTTAGAAAATGGCACCAAACCCTTTTATGGAATTTTGAAACCCACCAGAACCTACAGTCCAGAAACGTCCTTTCGGAGCGACCATGTCCAGTCCAAGTGATAAGATTATAAAAGATAGGATTCTAGCACCTTTTGAATTGAACATGTTTTTATCTTTCGTGATAATTTAGTTAATAGTTTTTTTTGTCTATATGAAAAATAATATAATAATGATCAACTTACAAAAAAAATAATGAATGCGGTAATGTCAAATAAAGAATCTCACCAATGAATGTGAAATTATAATTTTTTTTTTAAAATATCATTTATGAAAATAACATCGTTAATTAGACTGACTGAATTGATTATGTTAGTATTAGTGGAGGAGCGTCAAATATCAAATACGATACACGCGAATTAAATATTTAATAACTAATAATTGGACTGCTTTTATTTTACGTATCAGACAAAATGTTATTCTAAAAATTAATTAAAAATATATGTAAATTTTAAGGGTGATATTGATATTGAAAACAATAATATATGCTTTATGTACAGAAAAAAAAATATGCGCTTCCGTTTTATTCATAAAAACAATATGTATAGGTTGGTATAGTACGGACCAGTAAGGTAGTAACACCATTACGAACAGAGGAGGGGTTAGGACGGCGTAAATTGTACGATGGAATAGGGTCTCGGAATAACGAGGGTTTCAAAAAATTAGATTTATTATTATTGTTATAATAAAAAAATAAACAAAGTATTATGGATCAGTGATAAAATTTTTGAGCTCAAAACCACAAAACATACGATCAAATATTGTTGAAGTCATATGAGAAATATCAATAATTAGTATTGTGCTATAATTATAAAATTTATCTCATTTTTTGTCTAACTACGAGAAAGGAGCTCAGGAAGACGTTTAGGCCTTTATTTAAGGGTTTCTTTTTAAAAATTTGCACAACACCTCTAATGTCCTAATTCTAGCCCCGGCCGTGATTACGAAGGCCCCTCTCATGCTATCTATCCCATAAGCATATTCTTACTCATTGCTTGCACTATTCAAAGTGAAGAAAAATAAAAGTGCATCTTAAATTTTAAATTAAATTTGATAATTTAATGTGTATTATTTCATGTATTTCATTTATTAAGTGTGTAGTTATATATATATATATATATATATATAACATAAGTAGGTTAAAATTTAATTTATAATTAAATATTTTAAAATATCAAAAATATTTATCACATATGCAATATTAAACATGAACGATCACATGACAAAAACATAATATAAAAATTAACAAAAAGCATACCAAAAAAACATCTTAAATATGATTACTTGATATTATTAAAATTTTTGCCCAAACCTCAACTTTCTATGCTATTTTCTGATTCTCTTTATAAAAATTCCAGACAAGTAATTTTTTATTGTTATTACTATTAATTATTATACACATAAATCCCATTTAAGACAATAACACCACCAACAAGAAATATGTTGTTAAAAATACAATTCCTTTTAATTAAAAAAAATACAATTATTTTTTCATTTATGATTTGCACCAAATCGAAATTAAATTAAATACAAATATTGCAAGTGGTACCCTTTTCTTCAACAAATTCAAGGGAAAAAAAAGAAAAAGAATCGATACCCATGTCGCCTTCTTTTATTTTACTATCCATCAGTTCATCAAATCAGTCCCAAAAACAAAAACCCACCGCTACAAGCATGAAATCCGGTCATGGGGTCACTTTTTCTCCTGTTTCTCTTCGTTTCAGATCGTGTCTTCAATTGCAATGAAGCTACAAGCATGGCGCAAGTGAGTATTAGAAAACCTTGCTTTGAATGCATAGATCCCTTCGCTTTTGATCCTTTGTTTTGTGGATTTAGAGTTGGTTTCTTGATTTGAAGGTAAATGGGTCTTCTGAAATGGTTCCATTGGTGGATAGGGAAGCGATAAAGATGATGAAGTTGTTCAATGAGAGCAGGAGAAAGCTGGGGAGTTTCCAGATATGCGCTGTTTGTACATGCTGTGGTGGAGCTAAAGGTCTTTGCTTACCATCTCCTTGTTGCTACGCAATCAATTGCAACATTCCAAACAGACCCTTTGGCTTCTGTTCTTTCACTCCCAAAACCTGTAATTGCTTTGGATGCCATCTCTAAATCCTTGTTTTTCTCACGTTTTGGTTGTTTTATTTCAGGGTTTTAAAATATTATTGATTCTGATGCATGTTTGAAAGTGGAGAAAGAGAATATCTGTTCTTTTTCATTTGTGTGTTTATAAAACTTCATAGGGAGTTTGCTGTTTCCAGTTTAGCTTTTTGGCTATCTCCAATGGGATTTGTCTATAATTTTTGTTTTTTCAAGGAAGTAGCACTGCCTGGAAATTGTATTAGAGCACAAGATATGGTAATGAGAAAGAGGCTCAGAATTGGCTTCCGACTGTACTAGATTCGTCCTTATTGAGGGAAGCATTCGTCCAAAATCCAATCGAATTCATTGTAATATAGATATTCGAGAGACGTAAAAAAAATAAAAGATATAGGCATTGTAGAAACCTATGTCACAATAAGAAAAATATTAATCTCTTTTATCATCACGTAACCATTGAGCATCACAATGTAATTGTAGTTTCTGAAATATCAGTTTGTGTTAGTTCATTTTCGTTTACTTTCAATTAATGTTATCTTAGCATCAACAAGTAATAGACTACTCAAGTGAAAATTAAATAAAAACATTACAAACTAAATAAAAAAAACAATTAAAACAATTAAATATAAACGTTACTATTCAAACAATTAAATAATAACAATATTAAGAAACAAAATAAATAAGAAGTCCATAATTTAATACATTTGCTGATAAACAAATAAAATTAGATAAAAATATTACAAATTAAACAAGTCTATCTATGTCTGCGTCTTGAATGTGTTCCACAGGGCGGCGGCTGTTTATTTCGATGAGGGTTTCTTCGTATAACTTGCTCTTCCTCCTCACTCTCATTATCATCAGCATCAACAGTAGCAGCTATATTTTGTTAATGAGGGACGAATGACGGTGTAACACCTTCATAGAATAAGAACTCTGTAGGTGTATGACTAATCATCCCACCGTTCATAGAAAACTGTGAAATCTGCGAAAATATCAACATCGATGATTGTGATCTATACTGAGCCGGAGGTGTCTACGTCTGTGGTGAATTATCACTTTCCAAATATATGCCAGGAGATGTCATAAAACCCAATGATGGTGGCATCTGAATCGATTACGATGTCATCTGAAACGGTTGCGGTGTACCCATGTATAATGGTGGGCTGGGAATGTAAACTGATATAGACGGTAGTTGTCGTGATGGTTCCGGTGCTGCAGTTGAGGACGAGCCGGAAGCGTTTGCTCTCTGTCCATGAGTCAGGGGACGATGATGTTATGACGGTAGATCCTTTTCTCGACACCGATGAATGCTCCTTCCTTGTGCTTCCTCGGAAAGTAAGAATGGTTTCCCTTTCGTGTTGAACCACTCATAATAGTCACCTGCAACCGAATAATGATCCACATAAATTGGCTCCCTAGGAAATGCGTCTACGACGATCCTCTTATATCATTATCCACTCGCTATGCTTCAGCAGCCAGTTGACATCATTTTTGCCCCGTCTATCGACGTTATGCATATTTTCGAGATTCTTAGGTGCTTCAGGAATGTGTACAAAACTAAATTGGCGGAGCACGCAATCAATAGGAGCCACTCGATAACATAACATATCAGAGGGGCCACTGTCATCCATACATCTAATGAGCCACTCAAGTGAGGTGGGATACAAAGCCTTATTTCTTGAGTAGAATAAGGGGCTATTCAAATTAAAACAAATATATATAATTCTATCAAAAATAATATTCTAATTATATAACGATAATTAAAGGTAAATAATAAAATTTAAATACATACCTCTGTACCAACCTTCTGATCAATAAGTAACCTAATTTCTTTCAATTCATGGTATATCACGATGATTTTTCCTTGTACATGAACCTATTCAATGTAAAAAATATTTCATTATATACTCAAAAATTTTTATTTATATACGAACTTAGTATTGAAATTACCTCAACAATAACGGGAAGACTAATGGGTTATTCACGACGATCATAAAAAGTACCACACCCATGATTGGAGAAGAATGAGACATTTGTTGATATCATTAATTTTTTTGATAATAAGTTGTCCGACACATTTCTCTATACAAAGATATCAAAACTGCGGAGCCCCAACTAAGGTCGGCGGTAATATGAAAATTTTCGAGGTGACACAACCACATACAATGAACTTGGTTGCGAGATTTATCGGGCATCAAGATCTCTCCTATGAAATGTAATATGCAAGCCTAGGCAAATATTTTAGCATGTTCCTTGGAACAATTTTCACTTAAATGTTGAAAATTTGTAGCCAACCATGATAACGGTATTCGACCACCGTTGAAATTTGACGGGATACCTCCAAGATACTCATCGCACAAGGAATACCAATTACTATCAGCAACACTAGAAATAACATCTCCATCTACCGAAAGCCCCAAATGTATGGAAACATCCTCTAGAGTAATAGTGCACTCCCTACACGAAAGATGGAATGTGTGTCTCTGGTCTCCACCTCTCAATTAGTGTAGAAATATGGTTGGATTTAAGGTTACAATGCCCTTCATATTTCGTTATGTAACCGAATCCAACCTCAGCTAAATACGACCAGACACGACTCAATATCTCTAACTTATCGTTACGAATAAATGAATCTAATATACGGTTATTCCACTAATTAAATAAATAATAAACAAATTAAAATAATACTAAAAAAATAAAATATTCACAATAATTAAAATAATATAATTTAAAATTGTTATCGTATCGGTAAAATGACACGATATATGATTATTATCTAAACGCAGCAACCCGTCTTTCATTTTATAACTACAAAAAGAAATAAGAAAATTAGTAAATTTCATACTAAAGTATGAAATGATTATAATATAATAAAAAATTATAACTTCTAAAAACGATAACAAAATTTACTTAAAACTTTCTACAAGCTACAAGAATTGATAAGGAATATAATAAAAAAATTTTGGTGTGGTTTGATTGTTGTATGAGAGGGTATTTATAGGAGGGAGGGAGGGAGGGAGGGAGGGAGGGAGAGGGAGAGGGAGGGGGATGGGCAACATTAAAGGGGTATGTGGTAATTTGATATGCGTTTTCCGCCACATGTCAAATTTCCCTCTAAGGCTCGAATTACAATACGTATTTTTTCACCGTGGCGTTATCTTGGATAGAACCTTAAGAAGGCGTGCTTCATGATCCACGTTTTATGTCCATGTCTGTAAGGCGTGTATCTTGAAACACGCTTTATTATCATTCTGTCAGTCAGAAAGGGTGTTAGATCGGTAATATTTAAAGAAAATGTGTCTGACATGTAATTATTGTTTGTTTGGATGATTTTTAAGGTAAAAACACAAATGTTAACGCTCTGTAAGGCATGACAAAGATTCATGATGCCTATTTTACTACTATTATCAGTGGGTGTATTGCATAATGCAACTTGGAACAATGTAAGAGAATGATTTTAATATCAATTTGTTCTCTAAATGCCGTTTGTTTATATGTTTCTGCTGTTTCACACTTGAACTAGCACAGTATCTATAGTCGGAATAGGTCAATAGATAAATACTAAATAAATAATCTTGGTGATGATGCTCAAGGGAAAGTGAATTCCTAGAACTTTGTAGTTTGGCTTGTTGTGCCTACCATATTTTTTAAAAAGAATTTTGCAGCTTTAAAGGATAGTGAAAAGGGTCTCAAATAGAGGGATTCAGTGCTCTTTGGTTATATGTGTTCCATGAAAGATTTTTTTTTAAGATGTGAGTTACCTTAGGAAAAATTAGGGTTTTGTAACTTGTGAGGTAGAAATGGCCCTTAGTAGCTGAGATTTAAATGTTGGTGAAGGGAGATGTGGTTATATATCGTGAGCCAGAATAAAATATTGGGGGTAATTGGATGGAGGATATCAAGCTCTGGCAACTTCTTTCGCTAAAGATGGTGGTGGTGGTGTTTATATTTTTGGAGTTGAATAAATTATGGGTTTGGGATGATGTTAGATCCTTTAAATATTATTTAAAGTTTAAATTTAGAATTAATAACCGGTTGGTATAGTGAGATGAGACATTGGATTCCTTAAGCAAGATCAAGGGTTTGAGTCTTGACATTTGCGAATGGAGCAAACTGAATTAAGAGGGTTGTCCTCGTTTTTACAATACACGATTAGGATTAGTTAATCAATAGATTAAATATCAGTGATCAATAGATCTAATACCGATGAGTGTAAAACAATTTTAATATTGACGTCTTTCTCTTCATTTTATGTTAGACTGTTAGAAATAAATATAAAACTTAATTATTGGTACATAAATATAAAGCTTAATTATTGCTTTATCCATATATAATAGAAATAAAACTCACGTTTGGTACAATATAAATATAAATAATAATAATTATAAATTTAATCTTGAAACTATAATAATGTGTAAAATCTCACATAGAAAATAAACATCTTTAAAATAAATTAAATATTTACTTCTATTTTGTTCAAATCAAGTCACATGAGTAGATACAAACCAAGTGATATAGGTGATAAATAAATTATTATTATTTTTTAGGATCTCGAGTTTAAGCATAACGAATATTATAAGTAGAAATGTTTAACGTTAAATTCAGTGAATAGAAAATATAAAATAAAATTAATTTATTGCTAACTCCTATACCAAACAGGAAAAAATAATACTTATATCAAACACATTATAAATATTAAATTTAGACTTATTTTACTATTTATTAGCATAAAGACTGAATTTTTCCGTTTAATGATAAAAAAATAATTTGAATCAATTTTTATAGGATAAAGTATACGAATAGTTTTTCGACTATAGAATATTATTTTATTAAGTCATTCGACTATTAAAAATTATAAAATAATCATTTTATTATTACAATGTTGCTTTGTTGAGTCCATCGATTATCAAAAGTTCCAAAATGATCACCCCGACTATTCATTATGTTCCAAACTCGTCATTTTCTATTAAAAAATTATCGATATTATGAGTTGAACATTAATTTGTTGACTGTGATATGATAAAGATGATCCCAGAATCTCAAACGACTATCACATCTTAGTTCATCACGTCAATGTCCAACTTAGATAGCCATTAAATTTTTAACGAAAAATGATGAGTTTAGAACAAAATAGATAATGGATGATCAATTTGTAACTTTTGATAGTTGAAGAACTTAATAAAACAGAGATGCCTTATAATCACAGAGCCGTTCATGTACTTTACCCATTTTTATAATAGAAAAGCTAAAATTATCTAATTAATAATAGAAGATTAATTTGATCCAATCCTTACCATAAAGAGACCTAACATGCA